TCTTCTCATCTCTCTCTCTCCTCTCTCTCTCTCTCTCTCTCTCTCTCTCTCTCTCTCTCTCTCTCTCTCTCTCTCTCTCTCTCTCTCTCTCTCTCTCTCTCTCTCTCTCTCTCTCTCTCTCTCTCTCTCTCTCTCTCTCTCTCTCTCTCTCTCTCTCTCTCTCTCTCTCTCTCTCTCTCTCTCTCTCTCTCCCTCTCTCTCTCTCTCTCTCTCTCTTCCTCTCTCCTCTTTGACTCTTCTCCTCTCTCTCCTCTCTCTCTCTCTCTCTCTCTCTCTCTCTCTCTCTCTCTCTCTCTCTCTCTCTCTCTCTCTCTCTCTCTCTCTCTCTCTCTCTCTCTCTCTCTCTCTCTCTCTCTCTCTCTCTCTCTCTCTTTCTTCCTCTCTCTTTTCCTCTCTCTTTTCCTCTCTCTTTTCATCTCTCTCTTCCTCTCTCTCTCTCCCTCCTTCCCTCTCCTTCACCCTTCCCCTCCCTTTGCTTGTCTCTCTCTCTTTCTTTCTTTATCTCCGCGTCTGTTCTCACTTTCCTTTTCCCCATTCCTTTCCGGCACCCTTTTCCTCATTTCCGGGACCACTCTATCTCCTCCCTCGTCCTCCGTTTCACTTACTGAGGACACGTATTAGGATTATGTAACTTTTCCTTCTTCATCCGTATAAGTTTTACGTATTCAATAAGTGTATTGATCTAGTTGATGTTATATTGTAAATGTAAATAGAAAAAATATGTATATTAGGAAAAAACGCCCGTTTGAAATTGATGGATTAAATCTAGGATTTGTCCCCTCTCGCTTTTATTTAGAGAGCTTAAAAACAAACACAGACATGTAATCCAGATAAAAGTATCTCCCGTTTCCCTCACACTATTCTCCACTATTCAGGAACCACACTTTTCATACTTTTCCTCATACTTTGTCCGCGGCGCATATTCTCCCCCTCTCTCCACCACATCACCCGACAGAGGATCACACACACCCTCGCAGTGCAGTGAAACATGTCAGACTCATTTTGAGGAAATCTCCCCGACCCATTTTGTTACACGCGCGCTATTCTTCCCAGGACTTTTTTTGCATTGAAGCTGGCAATACACACTCCATTGCATTAGGGTTGCAACGGTTCACCTTCCTATTGCATTTCCTCAAAGCAGTATTTCAGCCCTTGCAGTTTGCATGTTTTTACTCGTGAAAAAATACAGTATTTCTTTGTTTCTTGTCTTGTTTAATGATTTTGTTCTTTGACGTTGAATAATCATTTATGTCGTTTGTTACTGTTTCCTCCATTATATTTATGTTGTTTATAACTGTTGCTGGTTCTGTTGTTCAATAAATATGTCTTTAATTGATGTTACCCATATATTTTACAGCACAAGGGATGAAATGGTGAGAGTGAGAGATAAAGTACGAGAGACAGACAGTGTGGGTGTGTGCGTGAGAGAAAGGAAGAAGGAGAGAGAGTCAGACAGATAGAGAGTAAGAGCAAAAGAAAGAGAAAGAGAGAGAGCGAAAGTAAAAGAGAGACAGACAGACAGACAGCGAGAGAGATAGAGAAAGTAAGAGAGGGAATGACAGGCAGACAGACAAAGAGTAAGAGTGAAAGAGAGAGAGAGAGTGAGAGAAAGTAAGAGACAGACAGACATAGAGTGAGGGAGAGAGAAAGTAAGAGAGGGAATGACAGACAGACAGACAGAGAGTAAGAGTGAAAGAGAGAGAGAGAGTGAGAGAAAGTAAGAGACAGACAGACATAGAGTGAGGAGAGAGAGAAAGTAAGAGAGGGAATGACAGACAGACAGACAGAGAGTAAGAGTGAAAGAGAGAGAGAGAGTGAGAGAAAGTAAGAGACAGACAGACATAGAGTGAGGGAGAGAGAAAGTAAGAGAGGGAATGACAGACAGACAGACAGAGAGTAAGAGTGAAAGAGAGAGAGAGCGAGAGTGAGAGAAAATAAGAGACAGACAGACATAGAGGTAGAGAGAGAGAGAGCAAGAGAAGGCACAGAGGCAAGAGCGAGTGAGAGATTAAAGCCGCGTGCCAGGCGGCGCCGCCCGAGCCGCGTCCTCCCGCCATGACTAACTCCGCCCGCCTCCTTCCCGCAGCATCCTGTTCGCGGACATCGTGGGATTCACCGCCATCTCGTCCACCTACACGGCCTCCGAGCTCGTCAAGATGCTCAACGAACTCTTCGCTCGCTTCGACGGCCTGGCTGAGGTGGGTGACGGGGGGTGGGGCGAGGGAGAAGGAAAGGGGTAGAGAGGGGAGGAAGGAAGGAAGGGGAGGAGGGAGAGGACGAAGAAGGGAAGAGGGAAGTAAAAGGAGGGAGTGGGGTTCAGGGAGGAAGGAAGAGGTGGGAAGGGAAGAAAGGAAATGGGGGCTTGGGGAGGAAGGAGAAGGGGGATGGAGAGACGTGAATGGGAGGAGGGTGAAGGGGAGGAAGGGTGTGAGAGAGAAGAGGGATAATGGATAAGATAAGGGGTGAACGGGGGGGGGGTAGGGAAAAGGGGGCAGGGAGGAGAAGGGAGAAGAAGGAAAGGGGTGAACGGGGAAAGGAGGAGAGAAAGGAGAACAGAGGGGGAGGAAGGAGAAAGGTGGAAAGGGAGGGAGACGGGGGAGAAGGGAAGAAGGAAATAAGAGGAGAGAGGGAGGGGAAAGGAAGTAAGGGATGGGGAAATGGAACAAGGATGAAAGAATAGGAGGAATGGGGAGGAGGGAGAAGTGGGAAGGAAGGGACTAAGGGGAAGGGGAGGGGAACAGAGAAGAAGGAACGGGAAATAAGAGGAGGCACAGAAGGGTAGAAGGGGAAGGAGAGGAAAATGGGGGAAGAGAGAAAGGTACGAAAGGGAGAGAAAGAAGATGAGGGAGAAGAAAAGGGGGAGAATGGGGAGGAAGAGTGAAAGAAGGAAACGAGAGGGAGAAGGGGAAGGAAATGGATGGAGAATGAGGAAAGGAGGCGAAGAAGGGGAAGAGAAGGGAAAAGAGAGAGAGGAAAAAGAAGAAAGGGAAGTGAGAGAAAGGGAGAGTAGGAAAGGAAGGCTAAAGAAGAAAGTTTAGAAGTAGAAAGGAGACGACGAAGGAGGTGCAGAACGAAAAAGAAAGAAATAAGCGAGTAATTGACGGGATTGAAGGGGAGACTCGATGAAAGCAGAAAATAGCCGATAACTTAGAAGATAACTCAAAGTGGAATGAAGTGAGGATAAGAGAGGGAGGTGGGAAGTGAAGGCCGTGGAGGAAGAGGGAACAGATCGCGGAGGAGAAAGATTCTTATAAAAGAGTCACGAATAGAGAAAGGAAAGTTGGACTTTGGGATGGAATAAGACAGGAAAAGGAGGGATAGGAAAAGCGGAAGGATAGAAATGAAAGAAGAAAGGAGAGAGAAAGAGAAAAGAGAGAGAAAAAATATGCTGACAGACATATGGATACAAGCAGAGAGGGGGATGAAGACTGAGACCGGAAAGAAGAGATAGTGATGATGCTGACAAGAGAGAGAGAAGACAAAATATCGAGCAGAGAGACGGAGAGGAGAGGGTGGGTGGGGGGGGGGCACTGAATGACGCAATTCCCGTTTTATAACCGAGGAGAGCGTGGGGATGATTAGTATTCATTATGACCCAGAGGGCATGAATCATTCCTTTGACTATTGCGCTTTTCACGAGTATTTAGCCGTTCGCCAAAAAGGAATTCCGCGCAGTAATCTCGCGAGCGGATGTGGCAGCATGTTCGAGTGGAGGAGCTATTTCTCGGGTTCGCTTTCATTCTCGTCGCGCCGGTCTTTCACGGGCAGCGGTCCCTCCCCCTTCCATATCCTAGGCGCCCTCCTTCCTCACCATCCTCTCCGGGGTACCTTCCATGGCTCCGTTTGCTCTCCGGGTACTTTCGCTCCCTCCCTTTGCTTTCTGAGGGACTTCCCTTCCCTACCTTCGTTTTCTGGGGTCCCGCGCTGCCCTCGCTTTCCATCCCTCCTCCTTTTCGGGTTCTCTCGCTTTCCTTTTCCTTGGCACCGTCCCTCCCGCTCTTTGTTTCCGGGTTACGTACCGACGCTTCCCTCCTTCGTTTTCTGTGTACGTATCTCCGTCTTTTTCCTTTCCGAGTACCGTCCCTTTCTTTGCCAAGATGAGCACGTGCCCGGTTTGTCATTGTTTCATGCCACTCTGCATACATTCACACATACGCGCACGTGTACACACTTTTTTAATCCGGCCAGTCTTCCTCTCCACCATGTCCTTTTTCAGTCAGTTTTGATTCATTCTATTTTCTTTGCCCTGCACCGCTCAATCTTTTTCTTTGTCCGTTCTACTTCATTCTGTCTTTTCCCTGCATCATTTCATCCCTTCTTGACCCTCAAATCTAATCTCCCACTCGCCCCGGGCTCATTCTCTTTGGTTCCCTTTATCTCCCTTTCCCATATTTTGTAATATTTTGTACTCGGGGGATTAGAGCCGAGGGAATGGGGTTGGGAGGAAGACATGAAGGAGAAGAAGAGGAGAGGTAAAGAGAAAGAGGGAAGGAGAAGAAGGATTGTTTATTCGGTGCGATAAGGGTGTGTGTTTGTTTGAGTGCGTGAGCTAATGTGCACGTTTAGCAAAGCTAGCGCTCGTGCGTACGTGAATTGATGTTAGCGCTTAAGCTTGCATGTGTTAATGTTATCAAACATTAATTTCGTGTAGATTACGTGAGCGAGAGCAAACAAGCAGAAGGATAATTGGATGCAACAAACACTGACAGGAAAACAAAGCGTGCCCGAGGAAGCCAGATTAAAGCGAGTCTCCGTTCTGCATAAGGTCTTGGGAGGATTTCGCCGGGGGAAAAGCTCTCATACTGAGGGCCAGATTGCTCCATACCTGGCCGATCTTAAACGATTTTCTTCGCCGCGCGGCAGGTAAACAAAGTTAATTCTGGCCCCGAATACGTTCAGAGTCGGGCTGAGAGGCGTCGGCGTTGAACAGAGCCGTGTAGCCAGAGGCGACTGACCCGGCAAAGTCGGACTCAAATAATGAACGCGGATGCTGCCCTCACGCGCGCTCGGCCGTCGGTTTCGCCTCGTGGTGGTTGCCGTAATGAACGCTGAACACTGGTTGTCACGCATTCCCTTGGACCTTCAGTGCGGGCGTGTTCAGCCAGATGTAGGTTATGCACGCGTGTCAAGTGTTCGGAGAGCTTCACTAATGTTTCTTCTTTTCTTTTGCTTCTGCATTTTCGTTCCTTTCCCTATTCTTTTATTTAGCTAGAATTTCCGGACATATTTCCCTCCACTCGCCTCGCGGACGGTCCGGGGGGCCGGGGGCGTGCGGTTCAGACTTGGCTCGGGAGAGAGATTTGGCGGTTCCGAATGACGCATACCACGCGCGTGTTCTGCTGATAGATATTGCAAATAGATAATGATAATGATAAGCATTATGTGGTTTGAGAGCGGTTAGTATGAATAAATTCGAAACTAGAAGCACTCAGAAAGCGCATATCTCCGCCAAGGTAATAGGGTCACGGATGCAATGAAAAAAATTACACTTGAAGAATTAAATTAAAATCATCTCTCTCTCAAATACACGGGTGACGCCTGTAAGCATAACCTCTTTGGCGGAGGTAATAAAGATGATGATGATAATAATAGTTACCCCTATTGGCAAGGCAAAAGGGGTAACTGATTCAGTCATTTAAAAAATTATCATGGATCCGGATCATGATCCAGATCACTGAGACACACCTCTGGTAAAAAAAATGATGTTTTTTTGTTTTTATGATAACCAACAAACTAACTAACCAGCGCTACCGAAAACATACCCTGCTTGACCGTGGTTATTGATGATGATGCAAAACTAATTAAGGATTTTAACGATGCACTTATCTTATTTTCTTGTATTGAAATATTTGCGCAGTCAGTCACACCTCGACTATTTTAGAGTAAAATCTTACCGCTACGTGGTAAAGGAGTAGGTTTTAATTCCTCAAATCTAAGTATTTGCACGCCTCAACAGGACTAAAGATTACGGAAAAGACATTCGAAGAAAAAAGTATGTATAAATGCGACGTAAGTTAGGAGCGCGAGATCAAGTTGGAGGGTCGTTTTCTGTCTTTCTTGCTGTCTCTTTTGTTGTCTTTATCTTCCTTCTTTGTCTTTTCTCCCAGTGGCTTTGATTCAGGCGAAGGTCGAATGTTTACATGGGTCATTTTGCTTCCCGATCCGATGGGTAGGAATGGGGAGCCCTCCCTCTCCCTCTCTCCCTCCTTTTCCCATCTTCTCCCTCTCCCTCTCCCTCTCCCTTCTTCTCCCTCCCTATCCCTCTCCCTCTCTTTCCTTTTTCAAGCGAGACTGGAATGCTTTGACTGTTACTGTGATTCTAAATCCTGGGAGTTTTCAGGTATCGCCATCTCCATTTCAACACTGCAGTTGCTTAAACTGGATTCCTTTTTTCTTTTATTTCAATTCCCGTTTTGTAACTCGTCTTTCGTTTTATTCAGTGTATGTTAGTCGAGAACGCGAAACCGACGGTGAGTGCGGTGTTTAACGAGCCGTGTGAGGCTGGCGGCGGCATGGACACGCGCTGAGCTCCTCATCACTAAGGAAGCGACACACACACCCTCCCCCTTCACTGCCCTCTCTTCCGCTCCACGCTCTTTCCCTCTCTCCCTTCACTGCCCTCTCTTCCGTCACCCGTTCCACGTTCCCTCCCTCCTCCCATCACCTACTGCCCTCCTTCCCATCCCTTCCACCTCTCCTCTCACCTGTCACATGCTCCCCCTTCAACCTCCCCCCCCCCATTCGACCCCCACCATCTCCTTTCGCTAAAGGTTAAGAGGTGAAGCAAGACCCTCAGTCCCTCCCGCTTTCCCTCCCCTCTCCCCTCTCCCCTCTCCCATAACTCTACTCCCTCTTCCCTCTCCCCTCTCCCCTCTCTCCTCTCCGCCCCTTTCCCTCTGCCGGTCTCTGCACCCTGCACTGCATCACTGCACGTGGGTTCGATTGCCGTCGGGATGATATGTGATGTTCGACCTTATGCACTGAGGAGGAGTGACTCTCTTGCCCCGAGTTGGAGATGAGTTTCCTCGGATGATCAGTAGAGAGGGAGGGGAAGGGGGGAGTGGAGGCAAGTGAAGGGATCATTGGGGAGGCAAGGAGGGAAGGGCTGAGGGGAGTGTAGGAGAAGGGGGAAGTAGCACAAAGGAGGGAGGATGGGAGATGTAGTGAAGGAGGAAGGAAGGAAAAGGGGAGAGAGAAG